CTCTGAGCACGGCGTTGGGATTTATATCCTGTAGCCCATTCTGAACAGTGAGTGCTATTTTGGGTCGATCTCTTTTATTTCCACCTTGGTCACGCAGCACTGAACGCTTTAGACATGAAGTTTATAAAAGCAGGTGAGTTAAAGCTTTATTGGTCCTTTTCAGAGCTGGAAAATGAGCGAAGGCAGGCTCAGCACTGCGAGGAGCCAGCGCTCACACTGAGGCAGCTCCCGTTTGAATTGCTCCTCAATTATCTCTCGGGAACAGGGAGGCAGATTCCCGCAGCTGATACAGCCATGCTGGTGTCCTGACATTTCCAGCTCCCTGGCTATTCGTGAAACACATTAAAAGAGAAAGAAAATGAAACTAGAGCCCTGGTCACATGTATTGCACTCGGGATGTTAAAGCAGCGTGATAATGAAATGGTGCCAGGGGCGTGTTAAACCAGAGGTGCTGCCACACTGTGCCCCCCAGGGCTGCCCTGTGGTGAGGGTTACCCAGGTCCCACAGAAACAGGAGCCTGCACAGGACAGAAGTAAAATGCTACAAGTCAGGAGGGGCAGTGGAGAGGCTGAAACAATTATTATAAAGCCATTATGGAGCTATTGCAGCTGTTGCTACTCCTGCTCTCCAGAGAGAAGGGTCCTGGCAGTGATGCTACTGCCCAGGGCATCCCTCTGCCTCCATCCCTGCTGCCTCCATCCCTGCTGCCTCCATCCCTGCTGCCTCCACCCCTGCCCTTGGGCTCAGCCCCCAAAGCCAAGGCACTTCATACCTGATTTCTTGAAGGTGAAATGTGTGGGTTTGGACCTGCACACTTTGTTTCTTTGACACTCTGAGGTGGTGACTCCCCCCAGTGCCAGCAGGGGTGGGGGGACCAGCCGTGGGGTGACCTGAGGGAGCTCCCGTGATTAGATAGGAAAATAAACCCCTGGTTCTCTTCTCTGAGGAGGAGAATTATTTCCAGCATCACGAGAAAACAAAACAGACCAAGAGGGATTATTTTCCCCAAACAAGATGCTGTTTGAAAACACCCACTTGGATTCACATGTCATTTTTTTTCCTCCCTGGCTGTTGCAACTTTGCCAAGTCCAAAAATTTTGATACTGAGTTGATCTTTGAATTCATGAGACCAGCTTAAAATTCCTGAGATTGTTTTTTTTAATTTTGAAAATTCTCCTTCTTTTCGTTCAGAGCCTACTGCTGGAGCCTTAAAAGGCTTCATTTTCACGTGTCTCTCTGACAGGAGCTAGAAACCCCTTTTTGCTCCCCCTTCCATCTCCTTTTTTCCTGATTCCCCATGGATTGAATGAATTCTGGACCTGGGCCTTGAAGCAAACGCGAAGCACGGGGAGATTTGCAGTTGACGGTAGGAGTTGTCAGGAGCTGTTGTCAGCACAGCTTACAAGATGTGCTTGAACCATCCCCAGCAACTGTTCCTTCCCCAGCCAGCTCTCCTGACAAGACAGAGAGCACAGGGAGCTGCCTTTCCCGGCACAGACCCCAACAATGAGAGCTTTCCCCGCTGTCAGTTTGAGCAGCAGAAACACCCCCGCACACACACCTGCTCCCACACAGCCTGCTGCCTTCCACCCTCCAGGCTGGGACAGACAGAGCTCCCAGGGACCCACGGACACGCTGGGTGGGAGCAGGTGGAGTGGCCAGGGCTGGCTGCCCGTGCCAGGGCTCCCGGAGGACACAGAAGCTTTGTTTGCCTGTGCAGGGCGTGGGAGGCTCTCCCAGCTTGGCACCAGAAGGTTAGGGCTGTTTAAAAGGCCATTGTTTTCACCCTGTGTTTTTGGAAATACAAGGGGTGAGCCAGGCAGAGGCAGGAGAGCCACCCTGGCTTCTGTCTGCCTCGAGTTTGTGCTGCCGTGGGCACCTCCCTGGCTGCACTGCCAACCCCTGACCTGCTCCTCCCCACGCCCTGCAGTTCAGACCCCCCATCCCACAGAGCTTGTGCCACTGTCCTCGTTCCCCCACACCGCTCCTCTGTTAGCAGGAGAGGTCTCTGCTGCGTCAGGAGCAGCACTGATGGCAGAACCAACACACAGAGATGTTCTCCCCAAGCAGAGGCTTCTCCAGCCTTGGCCTCTCACAGCCATCCCAGCTGTTGTGGTGACCTTGGCACTGGCCAAGGCCGATTGCCCTCGCTGCTGCAGAGCTGGACCTAAAGGCTTGCTGTGACATTCCTCAGCAACCATGGGGCTCGTGGCCTGAATAAGAGAGAACACCCAGATATATTTGAAAAACACCCCCACGTGTGATTTGAGACTCGGCTGTGGTATCTGAGCTGGGCAGGATCTCTGGGGGCTTTTAGCCGGGCTCCCAGTGAGGTGGAACACACACATGTCCTTTTCCCAGGAGAGCTGGGCTTAGAGCTTCTCCTTCCTGGCTTTCACTGCTATCAAATGCCTGCTTAATGAGATTTATTAAATCAACTAACTTCTGTACAACAATGACAGGAATGCAGATCTCTGCTCGGTCAGGGCTGGCTGTGACTGTGCAGAGCACTCAGAGGTGAGTCACAGGGGCAGGTGGACTTGGCCAGGATCCCGAGAGGGCTGGCCCTGTCCCTGGGATCCAGGGGGCAAGACTGGCTTCATGGTGATGCCAAGAAAGTGGGTGTTTATCTGTGTATAATGTTTATCTGAATAGAATGGTTTTTTGGCTGTAACTTCATGAGCATGGAGGGCGTTTTTCCTTCGGAGGAGCTGCAAGGTAACACCTCGTTATGTAGCCTTACATAACAGCAAGGGGCTGCTGCTAATTGGCAGAAATATTTTAGTTTCCCACCTGGTGCTGGTTCTGTTTGCTGATGACTTTGTCTCCAGCTCAGCTGCCCATCAGTCCTGAGCCTGGGGAAGAGCCTCAGCTCCCGCAGGAGGGGGTGGCTCTTGCAGGGCCTCAGAACTGGAAGATGCTCCTCCAGGAGGTGAAGGTCAGGCTAACACCCAGCAGCTGTTTCCTAGGTGTGGGTAAGTTGTTTGGTTTGGCTTGGCCTGGCTCGTAGCTCCCTTCCAATGGCAGGAACAAATTTTTCCATAGTGTAACGACTGGAAGGATGAAAATTCACTGTCTCAGCCTGAAGTGATGAGTGGTTTCCTCGTCTGTGCCCCCAGCTTGCCCTGCAGATAAAGGGCTGCAATGCTCTTTGGTTCAGATAACAGGGAGCCAAACCCATCCCTGCTCTTGAGGTTCAAATGTGAACCTCCTGATCCAGCTCCTGGGCTGAAGTGGTCTCACACAGCAGCACAAAGGGATGCTTCTCAAGTCAGAGTACTGCAGCTATGTGTTTTTAACTTTAAGCCTTTTTTAACTGCTAATTGTGAAAGAAGCAGCCTGCAAGCTCCTGCTCCACCTGGGGCAGGAAGGAGGAAGGTGGGAAGATGTGACCTTTAGCCTTGAGGAGTTTTTCCCGGTGTGCAGGTGCTGTGTGCTCTCTCATAGTCAGATGCAGGGGTGGGGAACTTGAGATAAAAATTCTTCTCAGCCTGTTCATTGTGGTGAGACATGGATAAAAGCACGGAGATGTTTGGTTTATGGTGTCAGGCCTTAAATACAAACAGTTGAATTGGGAGGAGGCTTCATGGGGGCAGACAGAGCTCTGAGGCAGATGCTCTGAGCTGGCAGAGAAGGAGGGAGGTGGTCACGTGGAACAAAGCACTGTCTCCTGGCAAAACCGAGGAGAAAGCCTAGACTGTGGGGTCACTGCTGGGTGTAAAACGGTGCTTAAAAATCACCCTGTGGAAAAGGAACGGGTTGGATGGATCTGGTTGAACAGAATGAACCACACAGATTCCCACAGGTGGTGTTTCTCCATGTGCTATCTCTGAACTCTTCCTCCATGAGGGAACCATCATCAAAGCAAGTATTTAAATAATGTCAAAGGCTCTTTGGCCCTGAAGTGTGCAGAGGTGAGGGGAGGGCACAAGTCACAAAGAAAATACTCCTGTTTTCCTTATTGCCCAACCCCTCACGTTCCTCACCTTTTAAATAAAAAATTAGTATTAATAAATCAGCCCTTTGAGTCAGGTGACAAGGGAACAAGGTCCTCGAAGGAGAATGTCCAAAAAAACTTGGTCATGAAAAGAAAACCTCAGCAATGTTGAACTGGTGAATGGGGATTGAAACAGCTCAAGTACACAGAGCTGTTCTCATTTCACAGCACAAGCAGGACCAAACCAGAGCTCCAGGGAGAGCAGTTTATCTGCCCAGAATAAGCACTTGTTTTTCTCAAATGACTGGAAATTAATGCCAGAGATACTGTGATACCATGTAACTGGGAGTCCCCTGAGCTGGCACCAGAATCTATTTTTGCCAAGTCCTCTGCAGACCAGTGAGGACGTTATTGCACCACCAGTAATGAAGATTTAGGGAGTCCTTGCTTGCTTTGAAGGTTTGTCTCCTATGCCCTCGTGCTGCTCAAGGTCTCTCTCTCATCCCAGAAAATCAGTGCAACACTAAATCTGTGGAGGGTGTGTTGCAGCCCTTTTTCCATCTGGGATGCTAATTTGAGTATTTCCTCAGCCCAACCATCAATTTTTCATGGAATTTCTAAGCGGGTTCTTGCATCCTCTGACCTGCTGTTGGACAGGACTGAAGCAGGCCATTAATTTCACATCTTAGCCATGGCTGCTGCCAGGCTGGGGGCTCAAAAGCACAGGAGCTCCCAGCATACACAGTTTGTCCCTCAGGGTTCCCATGAAACCCTCATTTGAGCCACACAGGGAATGGGAGTGAAGTCTCCAAGCTGCTGTGAAGGCACTGGGGGGGTTCCTGGGGGTTGGTGCCACCTGGGGCTCCAGGATTCCGCAGGATACAGAGGAATGTGCTGATGGAGAGGGGCTGTGTGCCAGCCCAGGAACCTGGGGGTGTCTGGGGTAACCCTTCCCAACCTGACCACAGTCCCAAGTAAGCGTGGAAATAGAAACACAGTGGGAAGGATTCTAGGAAGAGCTGGAGTTTAAACCCCGTTTCTGCAAGGCTCAAAGACAGCTGATCAGAAGAAACCTGTTTATTGTGAGGCTTAGGAAAACAATTTCTATGCAAATTGCTTTTTTTTTTTTGGCAAGTAATGGGGTGGATACAGAACTTGGAATTACAGTTTTAAGAACACAAACACACAGTATCTTCTTCAACAAACACAAACCAAACTTCTCCAGGGAACATTAAATGAACAAACGTTTCCTTAAACAAATGGGAGACAAACAAGGAGTGGTGGGGGGAGGACAAAACAAAACAACAACCCAACTCAGAAGCCAAAACCCCACTGAAGAAGCAGCAGTCACATCTTCAACTTCACACTCAGGCTGTACTTTCGCTTTGCTTTTCCTGTTCAATAGCTGGCAGGAAAACAGAGGAAACAAAACCACCATCAATAAACATTTCTGCTTATGAACTTTGCTTTGCTAGGGAGACAGGCTGGGAGAGCTGGGGGTGTTCATCCTGGAGGAGAGAAGGCTCAGGGGAGACTTTAGAGCCCTTTCCAGGGCATAAAGGGGCTCCAGGAGAGTTGGAGAGGGACTGGGGACAAGGGATGGAGTGGCAGGACACAGGGAATGGCTTCCCACTGGCAGAGGGCAGGGTTAGATTGGATATTAGGGAGAAATTGTTCCCTGGGAGGGTGGGCAGGCCCTGGCACAGGTTGCCCAGAGAAGCTGTGGCTGCTCCATCCCTGGAAGTGTCCAAGGCCAGGTTGGATGGGGCTTGGAGCAACCTGGGCTAGTGGAAGGTGTCTCTGCCCATGGCAGGGGGTGGAACTGGATGATCTTTAAGGTTCCCTCTAACCCAAATCATTCTGTGACTCTGTGATAGTGGTTCTACAAGGTACAGATTTCTGCAGTCATTCTTAAAGCCAGGGAATGGTTAAATCCACACTTGCTTTTTTTTGGTGTCCCTGAAAATGCCATCTCCTTCCCATGTCTGCATAGCTAGGAGGGGGCAGTTCCTGATGTGCAAACCTCCCTTTGTATTTACAGCTTTAGCACTGGTAAGGAAAATAAAACAGGGGGATAAAACCAGGTATGCCAAGGGACAGTGCATCTCCATGGCTGTCAGCACAGGTTCCCAGAGGGGTTAGCAGTGCTCTTCTGGAGGAAGCTGCCCACAAAATCTGGTCCAAAATGCTCTTTCATCCCTGAAGTAGCAGTGAATCCCAGCCTCAGCTGGCTGCCTGTGCACAATGCCTGTGGGGGGAGAAGACCCTGCACAAGCAAAGCTTGGGGGTGCTTTGCTAAAGATTTCCTGTCAGATGAGGGTGATGATGATGGGGTTTGCTTGCAGACTCATTCCCAGAGAAGGTGCCTGGAGGTCTCCTGGCCAGGGCTGGCAGCAGGTACCAGTGGGAGGCAGCTCCTCTGCCTGCTAGCACATTAAATCCAGAGCCCAGGCACTCTCTGGGGATGCTGCCAGGGATGGGCAAGGGTCCCCCTGTGCTCCAGAGGGGCTGGTGACAGGGTAATTACCAACAGATTGATCCTGTTACCAGCACCCAGCGGGGACACTGGTCTTGCTTTTAGCAGAAGCAAGAGCAATCCCACCAGAAGGGGCTTTTCATACAAAATGCACCGTTGGTTATAATTCCTGGGATCCTTGGAAGCCCAGCATAGACTACGAGTCTCAGTATTATCCCCACTCAGAGTCAGGGATGAGTTTGAGCCTGTAATCCTGTGATTAGTATTCATTTTGCATATGAACTGCAATACAGATTGTGTCCTTGCTACTCCCAGTTCAAATAGCCTCAGAAGCACTTACTCTCTTTAGTGGGCAATGGGTTTTTCTCTCTGGTTTCTGTCTTCTTCAGCTTGGTCTTGTCAAACGTTTCGATTTCTGCAAAATCTGGTTTGTCGGACATGATGGGTCCTGACAAAGAAAGGGAAAACACACCCATGGCTTCATTAGCTAGTGCTGTGATATCAGCCATCTGCAAAGCATTTTCTCCTCGAAAGAAAAAAAAAAATGTGAAAAGACCACGGAAATGTTTATTCAAAAAAAACCCCCACAAATCTAACACCTCGATCTGGGACCTTTCCCCTAAGGCTTGGCTCTTTCAGAGCGAAAGAGGAAAGGCATAAATAGAATTTTCTCTAGATTTCTCAGATGAAATTACTAAAAATCCTATTTTGCACATGGCAACAAGAATATTCAGTATTGAAGAGACAATGCATTAATTGCCAGTAATCCACGGTGCCTCCTGACGTAAACCTCTATTTTAAGAAACGCTGCTAACCAGAAAATTCTGCAATAAACCCCAAATCCAACAGGAACAAAGAGCTTCAGTTATGATTTTCTTTTAATTAATAGGATTTGTCTTTAATTCTGAGCCCCCTGTCCCGAGCACATCCATGCCCTGAGCTGCTGTGGACACTTCAGGGTAACAATAGAGGGCTGGTTCCCTCAGCCCTTTGTTTGCTCTCGCTCCATATCCCAGTCACAGCTCATGGGTTTGATTATACTCCATTATAATAAATAGAAATCCACAAAGCACACCAGCATTCAACCCTTCACCTGTCAAAACTTCCCTAATCCAATTCTTTTTTTTTTTTTAATAAGAAATTCAGGTTTAAAATCCAGCCTGGGCGTTATTCCCCTCGTTTCAGTAGAGTTTCCCGTCAAGGCGAGGCTTGGCCCGGAGATGGCTGATATAATTATGTTTTTTCCTTCCTGCAGAAAATCAGATTTCATTGCTATCTGCACCGAGACAACAGAAGTAAATATTCACAAGGAAAAAAAAAAATACAAAAATGCAAAAGAAAAAAAAAAAAAAAAGAAAAGCTACTAAAACCACATGGCATTACCGTCTGGCTGCTCTCTCCTCAGCTGCTTGGTGGCCGTCTGAGGCAGTGTGAGTTGAAAAAGGTCAGGGTAATCCCTCCTCTCCTCTCCCCTCCTCCCCCCTCCCAAGCCCATCGCTATTAATATTGATTAGTTCAGTGCTGGGATTGCTCAGCGTTCAGGGAAAGGACAGATTGCTCCTGCAGAAAGTGCACGAGGGAGGGAAATGGGAAAACTGGCATGGAAAACTGCCAAAGTACATCTTGATTTTTCCTTTTTTTTTTTTTTTTTCCTTTTCTCCATGGCAATCACACTGAAGTTTCCCTTCCCGGCCTGTTCCAACGCTGAGGTTTGGAGCAAAGGTGAGGCTGGGGGGCTGCTGCTGCTGCCAGCTTAGATTTTGGGGAGATTTTAGGTGCATTCAGCAACGTGCCTGGGGTTCAGCCCTGTCTGCACAAGCTCACAGGAGCTTGGGGTTGGCTCTAAGCACAGCCATGGTGTCATTGCCAGGATCAAGGGCCAGATTTGAGATTAGCACGGCCTGAGCACCCTCACTGACACCCGGGAATGAGTCCTGGAAGGATGGGCAATGGATCTTCCATTCACTCCTGTTTTTGTAGCAATCAACCAACCCTCTTCCTGCTGCCAAAAGGGAGGCAAGTAAGCTGGGATACAATTAATTGTGCCCTAGGAGTACCTGGTTCTCTCTAGTGACTGTAGGGCAGGCAGTGGGCTCAGGGAGACAGAGATGTCTCAGCTGACTGAGAGCTCCGGGAAGGTTCGTGGATCTTCCTGCTGGCATAACAGGCTCAGGTAGAGTGGGTTTGAATCTGCTACATGGGCATGGAGAAAATGGGTTTTATGTGTTTAAATGTGTCTTAAGGGTCTCTTCTTTGTTTAAATTAAAAGACTGAACAGCTTTGTGGCCGGGCTAGATGATCTTAGAGGTCTTTCCCAACCCAAATGATTTGTGCAGGCTGGCTCGGTTACCTCTGCATCTGCACTGACTGTCCCCACAAAATCACTGTGTGTGTGCACCATATTTAATGTTCCTGTGCTTCCCTCCCATATATCCAACCAGTTGTCACAATTAGAAAGCTGTGTTCTTGACTGAAAGCCCCTGGGAATAAGCAGGAAGGGGGACACTGGGTCAATACTGGTGGAAGCTGTAGCTGGGATTTGGCACTGAACAGTCCTAGGGCCTGTATAAAGAGAAATCATTAACCTCTTGTTAGGCTGCACATGAGATTTAGAAGATCAGAAAAGACTTGAAAACATAATCTGAGTGATTCATCAATCCAGGCAGTTCATGAGTTTCAGCTTTTTTAGTGCTTGTCCTTTTTTACAAATCACAAATTCTGATTATGAAGAGAGACTACAAGGGCAAAGCCTCTTAAACTTTTAGACTGGCACAAGTTCTCAGAGTTGTAGAAAGCAAACAAAATGTTACAGCAAAGCAGAAGAATCTCACTTCTGGCTTTCTGTGTCCAGTCATGGGCTCAGCCCCAGGACCCACAGCAGAGCTCAGGCTCTTCTAAACATGCTAAGACAGGGTGAGCACGCTTGTTTTCCACCACCACCACTTTAATTGCCCAATTTATTGGCAAAGTGAGTATTAAAAACAGTTTGGGATACATTGTTTGGGGTTTTAGGCTGAAGATGACCAGGTTTTTAATTGATATTGGGTTGGGTTTGTGAGGAAGGTGCAGCAGTGTTAAGCCAAATAACATAATGATGAGAAATTACATGTTCTCACTCTGTTGAAATCAGGAGATACTCATCTCTGTAACAAACGTCTTGACCACTGCAGAAAGTGCCTGTCAAGTTTCTGTAGCTTTTAAGTTGGGTCCTGTGGTCAAACACAGCTCATGTGGGATTCAAACCTCATGTTTACATACTCAGTGCAGCACAGGCAGCTGGGTGCAGTTTACATATGGAAAGTTTGGAATTTGGCCTGAGGGCACTGGATGCTGCATTGAGGCTGATGACAGGAGGGAAAGATGGGTAGGCTTTAAGATATTACTTAGATGCCTTTTCCTTTCACTGGGAATGGAAATACTCTTGCTGTATGAGCAGCAAAGCAGTTATTTGTCGGGTTTTTAATGGCAGGATTTTGGAGTCACCACCGTCAGTAAGGGGAATGTGGCATTTCCCTGGCCTGGGGATGACTGTGGTTGCAATAAATCTCAACTTTCTTTGTGGGGCACGGAGGGAGCAGAACGATCCAGCACACAGAAATGTGAAAAACCAGGAAGCCAGTGGAGCCTGCAAACTATGGGATCTTTCCACATGCTCTACACATAAAGCATGTAAAGCTATACTGGTATGGCTGTGCCTGAAAAGCTGCCTTATACAATGGAAACTGCATTTTATTTCAATCTGCTGCCAAGAGATGAAGGGCTGAGTCAACCTGACACCTCTGATACCAGTGAGTCACCTGCCACTGACAGCATCAAACCATGCCTGGCAGCACAAGCCACCGAGTGTCTGTCAGACACCCACAGAGGAACCGGGGAAAACAAACACTCGCTACCAGGGTTCGGTGATAGGTGAGAGGAACCCTTTAAAAGGAGCTCAAGTGCAAAGGCTGGGACTTTTGGAGCCTGCTGCCACTTGGCCTTTTCCCCTGGCTGCTGCCCTTGGGAAGCAGCGTGGCCAGTCCATGTGGGGCTGGGGCTGCAGGGACGTTAATGGATGTGTTACATGTACGAGGGCTGGAGCCTGTGCCGGGCTGGGGGATGCTGTGCTCGTGTTTGGCACGAGAGGTGCTCTGGAAATGCCAAGTCTCATGGAGACGAGATGGGCAACTGCCAGAAAGAGGGGGTTTCTTTCTCCTCGGTGCAGCAGTGGGAATCAAATCGTACCCATTTCCACAGGGAGCCGAGGAGGGACAAAGCACCCCAAGGAGCAGCCGGTGAGAGGAACAGACGCTCGAGCAGATCAGTGCCTGTAGCTGAGCCAATAAGCTGACACAACGGATTTTATAATCACATTAGTGCTGTCTCGAAATAACACACCCACTCCAACATAACAGTGATTTCATTTCCAAAATGTTGTGGTATTTTTGGTGCTAAAGGTAGGGGATTAATTTTTCAAGGTCAAAAGCCGGGCTGGAATCTGCACGTGGCCTAAATCCTTTGGATCCCTGTGAGCACCTCCCAGGCAGGTAGCAGGATTGCATGTGCTATAAGCTGTCCTTAGAAGGTTTCCCATCCTTAGGGGGACAGGAAAAAAAAAAAAAAAAAAAAAAGACTGCAGCTCCACTGAAAGGGTTTTCTTAGTCCTCTTTGTGCCTTTTGTTCCGTCTTGCTGCCAAAAAAAATATCCATGTTTGGGAACGGAGACAGGTTCCCAGGCTAAGAGACAATGAATCCTGGGGGTGTAAGGAAGGCACTGATCCCTCTTTGGCAGCCTCTCTGCTCTTGGGCTGCACTGTTAGTGAGTAAATACTCCATAGTTGTCTTACACTGTGTGCTTTATCATTACCTGAGGTGTTTCAGTTTCCTTATCAAGACCATTGTACCTTCAGGGTAGGTACATACAGAAGAGGAGGGGGAAGGAGAGGCAGTTGTAGACAGTCCTTCTCCTTGGGCTATTTTTTCCAACCCTGTGTTTTCCAAATGGCACAGGATATCAAACAGCCTATACTGGGAGTCCCGTTGCAGCAAAGAGCAAAAAGAGAAAACATAAGCTAGTGGGAGTAGAAATTTCCTCTCTCCCTTTTTTTTTTTTTTTTTGATATTATAAAACTTGGTATGGGGGTGAATTTTTAGAAGTTTAACCAGATGGAGGTTCTTGCAACAGAGCTTTCTGGAGAACTGACCCAAAAGTGTGTCTTCCAGCATAAAGCACTTGGCTTTGGCCTGGCCTCTTCTAGCAAAATGTGGTGACATGTGTGTGCATTATTGAAGGAAAAAAGAATTAACACAAAATGTGCATGGACAAGGTTCTGTCCCAAACACAGGATGGGGAGAGAAGCATGTGATGTCTCAGTCACATTAGTTAATGCTGTGGAGCACATGACAGTTTGTGATGAATGCTGGTCTAGAAGCACAAGCTGAGCATGACTTCGAGTCTTTACTCACAGTCTTTTTTTTCTGCCTGTCTCTGGACAGGAGCATCTCTTGGAAGCAGCAGCTTTTAGGGAAGGAGTAAGACAGGGAAGTCTTGGATGTGCTCAGACACATGATGGCCCCTCTCAGTGTAGCTGGCTGCTCTGGAACTGAACAATCCACTCTTGGAATTCTCATTCTCTTTGCTTTAAACAGGAGGAACATCCCCCTTCTTTGTGAAGTTCAAATTGTGCAGCAAATAGACAACCAACATAATCCAATTCACAGAACAAAATACATTGCATTTCCACATAATCTTTTCCAAAAACCATTTTCCAGTTTTACAAGCTTGTTAAGCCAAGCACACAGGTATTCCATACAGTGCACAGGGTCAACAATTATGTAAGAAAGTGGCAATCAGTAAGTCCCACATCAGTTGACTTCTACCTGCTCAAATGAAAGCTGCAAAAATGTTATGTTAAATACTGGTTTTCTTTATTAGAATGTAAAAAATGAAAAAAAGAAAAAAAGAAAAATTAAAGATGAGACTATTTTCCTGTCCCAGCAGCTGAAGTGAAAAGCCTTCTCTTCAAAACTTCACTGTTTTCAATTACTAGTTTTATGGCTTTTTTTTTTTCCTAGCAAATACACATAAAGTGCTAAAATTAATCAGATTAAAGCCATGTCTCCCTGACAGAGTTAACCTGAGCCCTGTCAAAGTGACTCCTCTGGTGTTGGTGTACCTTGAGTGGTCACACCATGAGATAACATGGGAGCAGCAGAGGGTGGTTGTGTTGGCAGCAGACAAATTGTGCGAACGTGAACCGTGGCCTCGCCTCAGCCCGAGGTGAAAGCACCACAGCAGCTGGAGCACAGATCCCTGGGAGTGCAAAGACCGGGAATTCCGAAGGGATGGGGACATTCAAGCTTTAATTCCAGCTCACTTTTAAGTGGGGACAATCTGTAGGGCATGAGCTCGCACATGCAGAGCCCAGGCTGGTGAATGCGGAGAAAAGCAAAATAGGAAGTAAAAAAATGCAATATTGCAATTTTGGCTTGCCTGGTGCATACACTGAGTGATTTTTCCCTTTGGATGAATACAAGCTTGCATAA